TCTCTGAGGGTGTTACTGAAGAATTAACCGGAGTATTAGTACAATTCATCATGAAATATCGTTGTGATACTGGGCTAGGCATAAAGAAAATATCCTTACCTCCAAGTATGTTTTCTACTAAAGTTGTAGAACAAGAAACATCATCTCCGAATATGGCTTCTGAAGTTGTAGAACTTGCTTCCAACTTATCACCGGCACTTCCCACAACCACTCAAATAACATGACAACCTTTGAATAATATTGAGGTGTCCAATCCAGAATATCATAAGCCGAGAGGACGACCCTCTAAACAGCTCAAGTCATCTGTTGAAGAACATAATGAACATCATACTTCATTTTCTAAAATCTGCAGTTACTGTTCAGGTAAAGGCCATAATATTCGTGGATGTTCAAAGTATAAATCCGATCTAGCTAACAAAGAGAATCATTAGGTAGTAGGGAAACTGGTATTTGTAATGAATTTTGGCTAGGGTAAGAATTATGTGTATACGGCTGTTTGGTTAGGGTTAGTTATTTATAGTTAGATCGGGTTTAAAGTTAGGGTCATGCATTTGCAGTTATAATTTTGTTTGATTGTTGTTAGGTGCTGAAAGCTTATTTTGTTATCGCTATTGATTGCTTATTATTGATCGCTTATTATTGATTACGTATTGACAAGCTAAAATCTCATTTATTCATCATCGTTATGTTTGCTTGCCAAATTTAATTTTTGTATTGCTATATATTTGGCAGCCAAACTATTTGCGAACGATCTCCCGATGCTCACTTTCAAATAATCATTTTATCAGCAATTTTGGCAATATATAAGGTAAGATATATGAAAGATTTTGTTGATAAAATGATTTTCAAAGTTGCTTCGGGATCTATGTTTTTGTTTAGTGCATGTTATACTAATGATTTTGATCAATGTAATTACTTCGTAGTATGTATGTAGTCATTAATTATTAGTTCAAATCAACCAGTCAGTTTTTTTTAGTTGAATAGCCGATTTGATATAATTAAAGGGCTTGATTTCAAATATGTATCGTGCTTTTAGATATGTATCTCGCACGAAATGCTGATGTCATTTAATTGATTCTCATATGGGATACTATAAATAATTTATTATAGCATTAGCATTTCGTGCAAAATACATATGCTTATTCTAATAAATATTATTTAACTATATAGTTGATGATTATTTGACTAACTAAAGTTGTTCGATTCTCATATTTCATGATCACGTGAAAAATAGTTTGTGTTACCGGTGATGATCACCACCGGTAGTAAATAGCAAAATTCTAAATATTATTATTATTTAAAGTTTGTGAAGTCTTTAAGTATCTCAAACTATAAGTAAATCATTTTTTGGACTTCTAACAAAAGTAGTAGAGCTCATCAAGATACATCTAATAATAGTAAAAACATTAAAATTGGCTTGGTAATTCTTGAAAAATCTTTAAAAAATGTTTTATTAATATATAAAATTTCTTTAAAGATGATTGATTTTTTTAAAAATTTATATAGTCAGCAAAATATTTTTTAAAGATTTCTCAAGAACCACCAAGTCAATTTTAATATTTTTACTATCACAAAGTTTGGTAAAATATTTGCTAAATATTTACAAAATATTTGTTAAAATACTTATTAAATATAAGGTATGTTGAAAATATAATTACAGGGTTTGGGTCTCATAGCTTAGTAGTTAAGCTTTCAAATCCTACAGACAAGATTAACAGTTCAAATTTATCTGGAAGCATAAAATTAGTGATTTTTAATCCTCTGTGAGCCAATTGGCAAAAGTGCTATTTCAGATATAGAGCTCTGTAGAAAGTTTAAATATGGTATAAAACCAGAATAAAGAGTTCTTAGAAGAAGCTCTGATCATGAAGCAGTGCTATTACATATGTTTTCTACAGAAGGTTTAGATTGTAGAAGATTACACATATAAGTTCTCTAGTTAGAATGATTTAGAGACAACACCAATATCTCTTCACCTCTACTTTAGATAGTACCAATATTCCTATATCCAACTTGTAAAGTACTTGTTTAAAAAAATAATTAACAGATCATATATATCAGTTCTAATTTGGATTGGTGTTGGGTACTTGCTTAGGAGGGTGATACAATACTATTAAACTAAAGTAATGAAAGAAGCGATGAATATATAAAAAGGCTGTGATAAAGAATTATATCTTAACTAGAATTAGAAACACTTTTGATATTAGTAGGATAACTATAGAAGGTTACTCAGCATTATACATATCAATAAAATTATTTTGAAATCTAAAACCTGAAATTAAAATTTGAAGACGAAATTGTTTTTGATTTATATATTTAAAAAATAAAATTTTTTGATATTTTTTTTGAAGAAATAAAATTATAAAGAATATAACTTCCTAAATTAGATTTGTTTTTGTATATAAAAAATTTTAATTTGTTCTAATAGAAATAAAATAGGGTTTTTTTGAAAACCTATTTCAGTGATATGTATATCCGGCATAGAGAATATAATCTAGCTCTATATGTCTAAAGATACTAATTTAGACCTCTAGTTATATCTATATAAAAGTTTATGATGAAAATATAAAAAAGTATTTAAGAAGATAATTAAATGTAGTATACTTGAGGAAGTAAGTGGAAGGGTCTGCAAAGATTTAATATATGATATCAATATTTCTCATATGGAACTAGTAGTAGTAGCAGATATCTGGCTTGAGAAATATATATAAGAGACCATCTACTAGAAAAGTATATACCAGTATAAAGTATCTAATAACAAGCATACCAAATTAGAAGGCTATAAAGAACTGATTTTTTAAATAAACCAATTTGAAAATAACTAAGGTTTAATAATGAGATATGGGGTGAATATAGTAGATAACTAGAAGTAGTCTGAACACCAAATCTAGGTATAACCCAATACATAGTGGGAACATAGCATACTCTGGTAGGTTTAGGTTATAGATAAAATTGTCTAAGCCTGTATTCTTAAGATAAATATGTAGCTATATAAGGCAAATACTTGATAAATATCTAATAAAAATATGAGACAAGACCTCACCTTAATACTAAAAAAAAAAGAAATACAATTACAAATACTTATTTAAAATATTTATAAATATTCAAAAATTAAATATTTAATAAATATAAAATTTAATATTAATTAATTGGTGATTTGCTACTCAACCAGAGAGAGCTTATAGTGTAACATAACATGGTTTACATATAGAAATTAGGTTTTTGGAATGTGAGCTGCTTCTATCTAAAACTTTTTTCATACTAAGTTAATCACCTTTGGGCCTCTAATTGAAGTTGTAGATCTCATCGAGATGCCGTTTTGCTGACTATGTAAAATTTTCTCTTTCAACAATAGTATTGCCAAAAGAATTTTACATAGTTGGCAAAATGTTTTTAAAGATATCTCGTGATTCACCAAGCCGATTTTGACGATTCAACCACTATTAAATTTGTCTCAATGAGCTCTACAACTTTAATTAGAAGCCCAAAGGTGATTAACTTAGTATGAAAAAAAATTTAAATAGAAGCAGCTCATATTCCAAAAATCCTAATTTCTATATATAAACTGTGTCACATTACACCATGAGCTCTCTCTGGTTGAGTAGCAAATCATCAATTAAATATTTAAATTTTAAATATTTAAATAATATTAAATTTGAATATTTATTTAATATTTTTATTTGTTGAATATAAGGTTGTACTTAGTTAACTTTGTGATAACAACTTTTGTTAAAAGCCCAAAGATAATTTATTTAGTAAAAAAAGTTTTCTTTGAGTGAATACCATATTTCTATCTTAAGAGATTTATATATAGAACCACATTGTATTATACTAAGATAATTCTTTAGTTCACTGAAGAATTATCAAATAAGTTAATTTGTAGGTTGGAAATAATATGAAGCTTAAAATTTAGGTTAATCTTTAGTATAGGTGGTATATATGATTATTATACTATTATAATATATATAAATTAACTATTATTAATTAATTTAAGTAATTTTATGAATTGTTAAGGTTAGGGTTAGGACTAGAATATAATTTGGTTCAATTTAGATAGGTTTTATATATTATAATTTTGTAATAATTTATATATACTCACCTATACTAAAGAAGATCCAAAGTTTATAGTAAATTTAATTTTTTTTTTTTTTTGGTTTTAAGGTAAGGCCTTGCTCGTATCTTTATTAGTAATTCAGAGATAGTTACAACATAGATT